AGGGGATAATAATCAATGTAATGAAACAAGCTATATGAATGGTTGAATGTGAAGCTGATGATGTGCCCTGTAAACTTTCACTCAATCCAAAATAAAAACATTTAATGGAAAAAAAAAAAGAATTAGCACAAAAAACATGCACTCAGCACAAGAAGACATGCAGAACAAAGGAATGAACAGCACCATAAAAATTAACATAATGACAGCAATTATTCATTCAATGGATTAAATGAACCAGTGAAGAGACAGAGAGTGGCAGAATGGATAAGAAAACAAGACCCTTCAATATTTTGCCTGCAAAAGACACACATACAAAGACAAAAACAGACTAAAAGTTAAAGTATGGAAAAAAATATACCAAGCTAATTGAAATATAAAACAAGCAGGAATGACAATACTAATCTCATATAAAATAAACTTTAAGGCAAAAATCAGCATAAGAGATAAAGACGGACACTATCTCATGTTTAAAGGGTCATTTGAGCAAGATGACATAACCATAATTAACATCTATGTTCCCAATGAAAGAACACCAAGATATATAAATCAAACCCTACTAGAATTGAATAAAGAAACAGATAAAACTACAACTACAGTGGGAGATTTTAATACGCCACTTACGAAATGGGATAGAACAACCAAAAAGAAACTTGAAAATGATACAGAGGAACTAAACAGCAGAGTCAGCCAACTTGACCTCATAGATGTGTACAGAGCATTCAACCCAACAACAGCAAATACACATTCTTTTCCAGTACACATGGGACAGTCTCCAGAATTGACCATGTGTTAGGTCACAAAGCAGGACTCCATAAATTTACAAGCATCAAAATACTACAAAGCATCTTTTTAGACCACAGTGCAATAAAACTACAAATCAATAAAAAGAAGACCAAGGAAATAAAGTTGACTACATGGAAACTGAATAACACCCTGCTGAAAAGTGACTGAATAATAGAAGAAATTAAATTAAACTCCCTTCCAGGACTAAATCTCAAGGGTAATACACGAGCAGGCATATGGGCTTGCTGCTGACCATGTTGGTCATCAATAAGGGAACGTGGGGGGAATAACAGTGATGAAGTTGTTAGTTAAGTGTGACCACATTCAATAGACTACTGTTAACCTGGATTGAGACTTGGTTAACCAGCAGTATGATGAGACCTGGTGACTCTTAGGCTCAGGAACAGGGATATGGCCACAGAGGACTAGAGCAGAGTGTGAAGCATCCAGCTGATATGAAGTGAGGGGAGATGCACAAGAACATCCATACTTTGACCTGGCTTCAATGGCTGGATGATCAGAACTCGACTAGAGAAAGAAAGAAGAGGAATAATCCGCTACAATCTGATGAACTTGACCTGTGCTTGTTGATGCAGTAGGGTCAAAGGAGGGAAAATCTTTACAGCTAGGATCATTCCGACAAGGATAGGCAACCCAAAATGGGGGGGGGGGGGGGCGGCTACAAAGGCAACAAGTTACTGGCTTACAAGCTTTCAATAGGGAGCCTAGTTCCAGAGCATGCGGGGAAAGGTAGACTCTTCACTGAGTGGGTTCCAATCTGTGTGGACGAGGCTGATGAAAGGAGATGGGGATAAGATACGTGTGATTCAATAGTGAATGACTGCTATCAGGACTGACTGTGAATGTTCGAAAGGTAAAGATAGATGTTTTGTAACAAAAGGAGGGGAGTGGTTGATTTTGCAGTCCAGGAGCGGTGGTCCCTTGAACCATCAATGGAGAAGAGAGAAGTGTGGGACCCTGTCCAGATAAGCAGTGATGTCAGAGATAGAGGCAGAGAAGATGACGTGGAGAGATGGAGCAGCTGGGGACTTTAAACTCAGGGAGTGAGAGGGGCTATGTGCTGACGACTTGGGGGGCAGGCTTGTAGTGTGTACCCTTTGTTTGTCTGATGATGCATGGAGGAGATTGTAGTCATTGCAGTGAAATGAAATAAGATAGGATGAATGTAAAGCTAATGTTCTTCCATGGAAATGATCACAAAATTCACAATAAAAACTTAACAAGAAAAAAGAGATGTAATCAATTTATCTCATTCCTTGACTATGAAATAGTTATGTGACTTGCTCTGGCCATATAATGTGGTAGGAAAAACATTCAGGAACTTCCAAGACAAAACTATGAGGACTTGTAATTTCTGCTTTCCTTCTCAGCATCTAGCTATCATGTTAAAAATCAAGTCTACCCTACTAGAGAGGCCATATAAGAGAGGGTGAGCCCCACAAGGAGAGGGGCCACACAGAGGGGAAATGGCATCCCAATAGCCAGCCTGCATCAATGTTCCCGATACATGAGTGAAGTCTTTCTTGGATCTCCTAGCTACTTTAAGCAATACCACATATAACAGAGATGAATCATTCCCACTTCCTAAAATAATTCCTGACCCATAAAGTCATAGGCTATCAATGATAGATGTTTAAAGTTTCTGGATGGTTTTTAAATTCAGAAATACATAATGGATATGTACAAATACACATTATTTCTTCTTAGAATTCACTTCTTTTTCCCTCTTCCATGCCACCCCATTCCCATTGTTAAAATCTATTCTCATATGAAACACTCTTTAATAAACCAGAGAGAATGTCTCTTTCCCCCAAAAATATGTATTCCTATTACAGCACTTAGCATATTCTTTCATCTATTATAGTTCATATTGGTTTCATTGCAAAATAAATTCTAAAAGGGTATCATCTTGTTTCACTTACCTTTGTATTCTCCATAGTATCGTACATAGCAGAAATAAAATATGTGACAGTAATAAAACCAATAGTCGAGGCAAGTGATATTCCAATTAGTTCTGCTTGTTTTCTTACCTGTGGGATCCCAAGTTATATTGTGTGCTATTGACTCCAGAAAAATTTGGCCAGTTTTTTGCCACTGACTATATGGTTCCTACAATTTAAAGAAAAAGTAATTTACCCAATTATTACTGGTATCTTTTTTTATCTATAAAACACATACATTCAGGCTTCTTATTTTTATAATAATATTTTATAATAATACATGCAGTCATTTTTAAGAGCAACATGGTCAATTCAGTGATGATATAAATAAGAAATATGTGATGGAGGAGGAAATTAGTGATAGATTATCCATGCTAGAGTTTCAACATCTGTCTCTTAGAATATGGCAAGTAAGCATATGCTACCTTAAACAACCTCAGACTTTTAAAATCATAATAATTATTTGTATTATTAGTTACAGTCAGAGATTTAATTTTAAATGTGTGTCTGGGGCTCTGCTACTTGGGGTTTCCTTCTCTTTAAAAAAAAAAAAAAAAAATTTCCCCATCTGGGTATCATGATGGGATGTAGGAAAATTCATAATAAGAGCTCTAACACTTCCTTAATATTATTTAATTGCTGCCCTGTGTCAAAATCGACTCTACAGCACCTAACAACAACAAAAAGCCAATCTATTCCTTAAACTAGTATTTTTCATATTTTTTGTCTGAAAAAAAAAAAAAAATACATGTTACATTGTGACACAGAACACCCATTCATAAATACATGTTGTTGGTGTTGTTAACTGCCATCAAGTCGATTCCAAGTTATAACAACCCTGCATACGGTTTCCAAGGAGCAGCTGGTGGGTTTGAACTCTAACCTTGCAGCTAGCAGTTCAGTGTTCATCCTACAGTGTCATACCATCTATATATATATGTTGTTGTTGTTGTTAAGTGCCATCAAGCTGACTCTGATTCATAGTGACCCTGTATAGGAGCAGCTGGTGAGCGTGAACCACCAACATTGCAGTTCAAATAACTTTGCAGTCTGACGCATTAGCCCACAGCGCCACCCAGGACTCCATCTATATACTTATATATATAGATGCATGTAAATTTACCTTTACTACATTTTTTCTTCTATTTCATTTTCTTTTTAAATTTAGGTATTGAGTCCAACTTGTTGTTGTTAAGTACCGTGGAGTCAGTTCTGACTCACAGTGACCCTGCGCAGGGTTTCCGAGGCTGCAAATCTTTATGGGAGCAGAAAGCCTCATCTTTCTCCCACGGAACAGCTGGTAGTGTCAAACTGCCGACCTTGAGGTTAGCAGCCCGATTCGTAACCACTACACTACCAGAGCTCCTTTTACTAACTAATAAAACCCCAAAACTCTCTCCAAATATAATGACTCTCAAACTTTAGCACAACTAACAATAATCTGAGATTTTTTAAAAATTAAAATTCCCATGACCCATGACAAAGGATTCAGTTTCAAAGGGTCCATAAAGGGCAATTTAAACAAAAAATAATAATCCCAAATGATTTTGATATGGGTGGCCTGCAAAATATGCTTTAAAAAAGCAGTCTTACAGGAATAGCTCTCAATTACAGTGTATATCAAACACCCCTCTAGAACTAGAAATATGAAAGGACTTCAAAATTTTGTGGACACATGAAACTGAAAGATAATTTTTCCACAAACTTTTGAGGTCCCCCATACCAGTGCCTGGGCACAACTTGAAGCCTAGAGATTTAGAAATCTGCAGGGTAGTGTATGGACATGCATATCTACCAGTGATTCTGGAATACATCTCTCTTTGAAGAGTTGTTGCCTTAAAAGAATATTCCAGAATATACAAAGAAAAGGGAGTAATATCTTTTTAAAAATTTATTTTTATTGTGAACTGAGTGATAGTTTACATGGGAGAACATTGGCTTTACAACACTGTTTCACTGCAATGATTACAAACTCATCCATGCATCATCATTCACCAGTTATTTGCTTCCATTCCCTCTGTTTTTCTTTTCTTTTTCTGGGGGTGGGGGTATGGGGAGATGTACACAAAATCATTTAGGAATATATAATAATTTAAACAACCAAAGGGCACATTCTGCAAGTCTGCCTCCTGGCCACCAGCACTCAGTCCCTCTCTTGCTATAAGTCTTCTAGAGTCCTCAGCTGCTCCCTCTCTCCATGTCTTCATCTCTGCCTCCATCTCTGGTGTCGTTGCTTCTCTGGATGGGGTCCCACATTCCGCTCGTGCTCTTCTCCCTTGATGGTCCTACGGTCCTCTGTTTCTAGACTGTACAATTAACTACACTCCCATTTGGGAGTAATATCTTTTATATGAGAATCTAAACATTCTCTCAGACTATCTTCTGGGTTTAAAGATTTGTGCATTTTCTAATTCTTCCATTTGACCCAGTTTTCCCCTTCATTATTGTTTTTGTTTTAGAAGTCTAACCACCACCACCACCATCCAAAGCTAGTACTGCATAGCAATAAACCAGCCTCTTGTTGATCTTTGACATTTGACTATTATACTGAATTATAATAAATAAAAGAGAAAATGTGCACCCTTACTAATAAAGGCATTTTACTATATCACTGATTTTTAGAAGTTAGTTATTTCATTCAACAAACACTGAGTATTGTTTGTAATATATTGCTGTGGGTGCTTCTACTATTCACTTGATTTTACTTTTAGTCCTATCTTTAAGACTTAATTCATAAGTCTACAAAAACCTTTATTCTTTAGGTAATATATAAACACAAATAGATACTGGGAGAACTGTGGACATTCTATCCATAAATTTTAAAGATATCTATTAATTAACCCAAAGAACCTTTTTTCATTAACACAAGGTACGGAAAAGAATGCTCACACCTATGAATCAACAAAGCTGGTGTCAGTCTAAGTTCTGTGGCTAGGCTAAGACTGTTTTACTGGCCAAGTCACTTATTTTCTTTGTGCCTCGGCTACCCAATTTGTAAAAGATAAATAATTGCTACACAAACTACATCAGAGAGAATTTGTAAAATACTATTGAGCCAAGTTAAAATATGAAAATTATCAAAAGGTACACAATCTTAAAATACTTCTATTATAAAAACACCATTTAATTTTTACAATTAAAACATTTCTACACTGTATCTGACATCATGAATCCTACAATATACACAAGACGAATAGATAATTAGTTTCAAAGTTAAGCAAAGAGTCTCTTTGTTATTGTTGTAAGGTGCTATAGAGTCAGTTTTGAGTGCCTTACAACCTAAGGGGCTCATTTTCCGGCACTATATCTGACAGTGTTTCTCTGCTATTCATAAGGTTTTCAGTGACTAAATATTCAGAAGTAGTTCGTCACTCCTTCTTCCTAGTCTGTCTTGTCTAGAAGCTCATCTGAAACCTGTCCACCATAGGTCATCCTGCTGGTATTTAAAACACTGGTGGCATAGCTTTCTGAATCACAGCAACTCAAGCCACCTCAGTATGACAAACTGACAGATGAGTAGTGGAAAGAGTTTTTAGATAGCTACACAGTTTCAGAAACAGAAACCAGTTCTTTGACTCTTAATGCAATGCAATTTTGACTACACTACACTGACCCTCTTTCACAGAAATTAAAGCATTAATATAATATTTTATGTTGTTGTTGCTGTTGTTATGTGCCGTGGAGTCGGTTCTGACTCATAGCGACCCTGTACAGGGTTTCTGAGGCTGTGAATCTTTACGGGAGCAAAGCCTCATCTTTCTCCCATGGAACAGCTGGTAGTTTTGAACTGCTGACCTTGCGGTGAGCAGCCCAATGTGTAACCACTATGCTACCAGAGACCTGGCCCATTGGTTATACTTAGGAGGATAAAAGCACCTGTGAGATCTACTACATAACCCTAATATGTACTCACTATTGCTTCAGGCAGCCTTCTGAACTATTTCCAAATATAATTTATTTATAATGAAAAACCTGACTTATTAATAGTAATAATGTAATACAAGAAAGTAACTTCTAGAGGTATGCTGCTGTTGTTGTTGATAAGTGCCATCGAGTCAGTTCCAAATCATAGCAACGCTGTATCGGGTTTCCAAGGAACAGATGTTGAGTTTGAACTCCAACTTTATGGTTCAAATCGACCTTTTGGTCCAGTACTTTATCCCACAGCGCCACACCAGGACTCGGAGGGGTATGTTAAGACTTTGCAATTAAGACATGTGACCTTAAGACCAATTGTTAAGTGCCATCTAGTCAGTTTCATCTCATAGCAACCCTTATAGGGTTTCCAAGAAGTGGCTGGTGGGTTTGAACTGTTGACCTTGTGATTAGCAGGCCAGTGCTTATACTACAATGCCACACCAGGACTCCTTTAGAACAATATAATCAGGAAAAGAAAAGGTAGAAAAACTGTATAAAGGCAAATTATAAAAACAATAAACTGCCATATATGGTTGAACCATGGTGTTTGATTTGCAATAAAGTAACTGTCAAACTCTAGGTACTGACTCTTCAAATATTTATTATAAAATAAAAGGGTATCAGAAAGAAAAAAAGTAAAGTATTGCATCACAATTTACATGCATTATTTAGTTTAATTCTCTTTCAATGAAACATTTAAATATGCTTTTTACATGACGTGGTCTGTCTTCAAGATTTAATATTGTACTTTGAAAATATCTTTTGATTCTTAAGAAATTTTAATTTCTAAAAGAAACACAATAAATTACTGACCAAATTTTTCTTTTCCTTCGGTGGGTTAATTGGTTCAAAAACAGAGATAACTTTTCCATAGGATGCTGCGATCTTAAAAAAAAAAAAAAGAAAACATATTATGTATATATTAACTTACAATTCAAAGAATCAAATGAATACTACCACATTAACTATGAGCACACCCACACACAATTTCATCCAATGATCTAGTGAATGAATACTGGTTTTGGAAACAGTCATTTCCCACCATGATCACTTACTAACAAGGTGACTACCAAGTTAACCTCTCTAAACCTCAGTTCCCCTACCTTTATGTATAATATGCATAATGCTATCTTCCTAAAAGACTTATTTTGAGGATCTGAATCACATTGATAAAACAGTAACTATACTTAAGATGCATATTGTTGTTAAGTGCTGTTGAGTCAGTTCTGACTCACAGCAACCCTGTATAGGGTTTCTGAGGAACGGCTAGTGGTTGAACCCTGACCTTGTGGTAAGTATTTCAGTGCTTATCCTATAGTGCCATATCAGCACTTCAATGTATATGTTGTTGTTGTTAAGTGCCGTCGAGTCAGTTCCGACCCATAGCGACCCTGTACAGGGTTTCCGAGGGTGTAACTCTTTACGGGAGTAGGAAGCCTCATCTTTCAATGTATATAGTAAACACTAAATCCATTCCTCAAAGAAAACATACAGATGAATTCAACATCAAATATGGAAATTGACCATGATTTAAAAATCACAGGAATATTATATCAGAACCTAGGTTTTAACAATGAATGGATTCTTACATATGATATCAACAGCACTAGCAGCAAATTAAATAAATAGGTTGCTATTATTGTTATGTGCTGTGGAGTCAGTTCCAACTCATGGCGACCCTGTACAGGGTTTCCAAGGCTGTAAATCTTTATGGGAGCAGAAAGCCTCATCTTTCTCCCGTGGAACAACTGGTAGTTTCCAACTGCTGACCTTGCAGTTTGCAGCCCGATTCGTAACCACTGAAACTTCATAAAAATTAAAAACTATTCATCAAAGTACTTTATCAACAAAGTGAAGAGACAAGCTATAGATTAGAAGAAAAACTGGGGGAACGATATATCTAATAAGGGTTTAATATATTCCGCTGAATACGGGCAGAGTTTCTCAGTGACAAACGACAGCATTATTGTAACGGCAGGAACATGTCCTCATCAGCAGTGCTCACTGCCAGTGTACATGTGTCATTTTGCCTTTTAAGACTTCGGCTATTATAAACAATAAGGGCAATACCCGATCTTGATCAAATAATGTTTTTTCTGTTTTTTAAGGCTTTTATGGATGTAACATATCGTGTTTAAGGTGCTCTGGTAGCGTAGTGGTTACAAATCGGGCTGCGAACCTCAAGGTTGGCAGTTCGAAACTACCAGACTTTCCGCGAGAGAAAGATGAGGCTTTCTGCTCCCGTAAAGATTTACAGCCTCGGAAACCCTGTACAGGGTCGCTATGAGTCAGAACCGACTCCATGGCACTTAACAACAACAACAACAACAACTATAATTTAACAACACAAAGACAAAGCATCTCAAGTGAAAAAATGTGCAAAAATCTTGAAAAGGCATTTCTTAAAAGAGGATATACAAATAGCAAAATGAAAATGCCATTGGTGGTGGTGATGGTGGTGGTAGTGTGCCACTGAGTCTGTTCCGACCTCATAGTGACCCTTTGTAGGGTTTCCAAGCCTGTAAATCTTAATGGGAGCAGAATGCCTCATCTCTCTCCAGTGGACTGACTGGTAGTTTCAAACTATTGACCCTGTGGTTAGCAGCTCAGTTCATAATCCACTACATTACCAGAATGTAGGGAGATGCAATTCAAACCACAATGAGATATCACTTCATACCTACTAAAATGACTAAGATTTTTTTAAAAAAAGGAAAATCCAAGATATGTATTTTGTTTGTTTTAATAATGTCTTAATTATTGATTGTAAAACCAGTTATCAGCTCTATAAAATGTTCACCTACTTCACAATAAAAATTTACAGGTGTTGACAAAGATGTAAAGAAACTAGAACCTTCATTTGGTGGGAATGAAAAATGGTACACTCACTGTGGAAAACAGTTTGGCAGTTCATCAAAAAGTTAAACAGAATCATGACCCAGCAATCCCAATCCTAGTTATATCTGTTGTCATTAAGTGCTAGAGTCAGTTCTAACTCATAATGAACCCATACAGGTTCTCCGAGGAGCAGCTGGTGGGTTTTAACTACTGACCTTGAGGTTAGCAGCCCAGTGCTTATCTAACAGTGCCACACCAGGGCTCCATATACTCAGTTATATGTAAGAAGGAGTCCTGGTGCAGTGCTGTGGGTTAATGTGCTGGACTGCAAAGTAGGTTTGAACCACAAAGTTGGTGGGTCAAGCTCACCAGCCAGTCTTTGGAAACCATAAACAGGGTCGCTAATGGATCAAAACCATTTCAAGGGCACTTAACAACCACAACATATATAAGGAGGCTTCAAAAAGTTTGTGGAAAATTTCCACATCTTTCAATTACATTTTTTCCCACCAACTTTTTGAAGCCCCTTTAGACATATCCAAAAGAAGTGAAAGGAGGAATACAAACAGAAACCTGTATACCAATGTTCAATGCAGCACTATTCATAATTGTTGTTACATGCTGCCAAATGGTTCCGAATCATAGTGATTCTGTACAGGGTTTCTGAGGAGCTGCTGGTGGGTTTGAACTGCCAACCTTATGGTGAAAACTGACCTTGCAGTCCAGTGCATTATCCCATAGCGCCACACCAGGACTCCATTCACAATTGCTAAAAAGTAAAAACAACCTAAATATTTATCAACAGATGAATGGATAAACAAAATGTGGTATCTACATAAATTGAAGTATTACTTAGCCATGAAGAGAAATGAAGTCCTGATATGAGGGGAATTCCAAAAGTTTGCAGAAAAATTCCATTTTCCCATGAACTTTTTGTAGTATCCCTTGCACATGCTACAATATGGATTAACCTTGAAAGCATGCTGAGTGAAATAAGCCAGTTACAAAAGGATAAATATTGCACGATCCCACTTATATGAAATAGGAAGATGTATAGAAACTATGTTAATCAGTAGTTAGACAGGTGGGATGGAGAGGAATATGGGGAAGGCACTCCTTGGTGGTAGAAAAATGTGGAAAGAGACAGTGGTATAATTATTGTTACACTTATAATTATAACTATTACAGTTGCATAATATGATAAATGTGATCAATGTCACTAAATTACACATCTAAAAATTATTGAACTGGCAAATGTTTTGTTATATATATCTTAACACAATTTTAAGATAAGGAAATTCACATGATTAAAAAATGAGTTTTCAGATCAGTTTTGCACAGTTAAAAATAGATCACTTTCCCTTGTAATATGCAAATAGTGACTGAAATACTAAAGAGCTTACATCTGCAAAAGACTTCACATCTTACACAATACTTTCCCTATAAAATTTAAACTGATTTCCACAACTCAGTAAGCTAGCTAGAGCAGTTATTATGATTCCATTTTCATGAAGAAGTAATAAAGGTCAGAAAAACTGTGTGACCTTCACAGATCTCATGTCTACTATAGGTGGGTGTTATTAAATACTATATGGAGCCACCAAGCTCTCATGCTAAATGGTAGTCAAATATTTTTATTGACTCAAAGCCTAGCTGTTGTTAAGTGCCGTCAAGTTGGTTCCAACGCACAGGGACCCTATTTAGTGTTTCCGAGGAATAGTTGGTGAGTTTGAACTGACAGCCTTGCAATTCAAACCAACCTTGCGGCTGAGTGCTTATCCTACAGTGCCAGATCAGGATTCCTCAATGCCAAGGACATAAAAACAATTCAGGCTATAGAACATATGTATGCACATACAAATATATTTAGCATTCAGATTATATATATGAATACACGTATAATTATAAATAATTTACTATCCATAGGATAAGGCCAGTGGTTCAAGGCCACCAACCGCTCCAAGGGAGAAAGATGAGGCATTCTCCTTTCTCCTCTTGCAAAGATTTTAAAAAGCCTCAGAATCCTTATACAGGGTCACTATGAGTTGGAACCAACTCTACAGCACTTAAGAATAACAACATTCGTTACTAAAAACTTTTTACAAATCTAACATTCTTCTATTTATCTTGACACTGACCAGATTTGAACTTGCAGGTTTCTCTTATAGGGTCCTTATAGCAAGTAAAATTTCAAATACAATATGAATGCTTTCTTTTCAAGGCATGAAAAAAGCTTCACAAACAAGTGTACTTCCGAAGGGAACAAAGAACATTCTCTGCTCTGTAATATAAATGAATGCTTTCTGAATAAAGCAAATCTGGGTCCTAGCATCTATAGTGTTGTTTTTGTTGTTAAGTGCTGTCAACTTGGTTCCGACCCATAGCAATCCTGTATAGGGTTTCCGAGAAGCAGTTGGTGAATATGAACCACCGATCTTGTGGTTCAAACCGATTTTGCAGTCCAGAGCATTAACCCGTAACACCACAATAGGAGTTACCAAGATTAGAGACATTTAAGAAAGAACAAGTCAAAAAAAATTCAACCACCAGAACTCATGCTAAATACTATACATGACAGTTAGACTTAGAAACAGCAACTAGAATTTGATTAAAGCTACAAAGCACTATGAACACTAAGTTATGAAGAAGGCTTATAACCTGATATCCTTTAGTCAAGAACTGCATTCAAATCTTAACTACCATGTGCTCTTGGGCATGGTAACCCAGAACCCAATGCCACTGAGTTCATTCTAACTCATAGTGACCCTGGATAGTGTTTCCAAGACTGTAAATCTTTACAGGAGCAAACATCTTTCACCCACAGATTGGTTGGTGGGTTTGAACTGATGACCTTACAGTAACAGCCCAACGCATAGCCCGCAGTGCCACCAGAGCTCTTTAGGTGTATATACTTATATTTATATTTAATCAGTAGATGGGAATAACACTTCTCTATATTTCATAAATTCTCTATATTATGTAATATCAATTGAAATAGTGTAATTAAAAAGCATCTGTAAGCTGAAAGACACTAGAAAAATGGCAAG